TATTTTCGGCGGGATCCCTGTCATGTCTAAATGGGACCAAGCAAAATAATCCATATTATCGATAAGAAATTGAATGAGTGTTTTCCTGAGTTCGGGGGTTAACCTCGTTCCCAGGTATACCTTTTTCTCGGGCATGTATTCGATCAGTATGATCTGTTCCAGCTCCTCGACCGTTGACTTGGTTGCATCGGACTCTTTGGGAACAATAAAAGTTCGAGGAGTAAGGAGATCCTCTTCTTCTTTTTCTTCAATTACCTGCTTTTCTGATTCGGTCGAGGCTGGGGACGGTGATTGCTATTTAGCCGTCTGCTTATCTTTGGTGCTTGATTTTTCTGAGGTCGAAGGTGCTGATACCGGTATCATCTCGTTGACTGCAAACATTTCCTTTGCAGCATGTTGTTCCCCGTAAACTATTCTCACACCATCCGCTGTTGGGAATGTCATCATTTGATGAAGGGTTAAAGGTACTGCCCTCATGTTGTAATCCATGGCCTCCCGAGTAGTGCGTTGTATCACATGTCGCCTTCAATGACATGGAATTTTGTATCTTGGATGGTCCCGGCCACGTTCACTGGTAGGATTATCTCCCCCTTTGTTGTTTCACTTGCCATGTTGGAGCCATTCAAGACCCGAGATGCAGGTACAATTTGGTCCTGTAGGCCGAGCTGCTCTACGACCCTCGATCTAATTATGTTTGCTGAACTACCTGGATCCACGAGAACACACATAACTTGAATTTTATTTAACAAAACAGAAATTACCAGGGCGTTATTGTGCGGTTGAGATATGCCTTCCGCTTCTTCGTCATTGAATGATAGGATTCCCTCGGGCACATAGCTCCGAGTTCGTTTTTCTCTGGTAATTGGCACCTTGGTACATTTGAACACAGGCCCTTGTGGAACATCGACTCCGCCAACGATCATATGAATTACATGTTGCGGTTCTTCCTGCTCATTCTTTTTGTTGGCGTCTCTTTGCTGAAGTGGTTCTTAGCTCGATCACTGTGAAATTCTCGAAGATGAACCTCGTTGAACAATCGAGCTACCTCCTCCCTCAGTTGCCTGCAGTCTTCGGTCCTATGGCCATGTGTGCCATGATATTTACACATCAAGTTCGGATTTCTTTGAGAAGGATCGGTTTGTATAGGCCTGGGCCACCTTGTGTCTTTAATTCTTCCAATAGCTGACACGATCCCCGATGCATCAACACTAAAATTATACTTCGATAATCGAGGTGCTTCCGTGGGATCGATGTGTTTATCAAAACCACTCTTACTCATAAGTCCCCGAGAACTTTGACCTTGATCATTTCTTCGATCGTTCCAAGGAGCATTACGCCTTGAAACGTTGTTTCTCCGATCGACATATGGCTGATACCGTTCCCTGTTTGATCTTGGTTCCCTGTCTATGTCCTCGGAGCCTTAACTGCCAATCTATGAACTGAACCCAAGGGGGCTCCCAACTGGTCGTCCTCGACCCTGATCTTTGATTGGTAACGATTATGTACGTTTGACCAAGTCACAACTGGTTACTCGATCAGATTTTGCTTCAACTGTCGTGACGTTATCGAAATCCGCTCGTTCAAACCCCGCATAAAAGCTTGTACTACCCAATTATCCGAGACATGCGGTAATTCCATTCGCTCCATTTGAAACCGGGATATGAACTCCCTTAGCACCTCATCGTTCCTCTGTCTTATCATAAAAACGCCCAATTTCCTTGTTGCCACCTTTATAGCCCTAGCATGTTCTTTCACGAAGGCGTCTGCTAACATAGCAAACGAATCGATAGAATTCAGTGGAAAGTTGTGATACCAAATCATGGCTCCCTTTGACAAAGTTTCCCCAAAAATTTTCAACAATACTGACTCGATCTCATCATCGTTTAAGTCGTTTCCTTTAATCTCGCAAGTGTACGAGGTAGTGCGTTCATTAGGATCGGTTGTCCCGTTATATTTAGGTATATCGGGCATGCGGAACTTTTTAGGAATGGGATTCGGAGCCGCATAATGGCTTTTGTATGAATTTCTTGGCATCCAAACCTTTCAATACCGGGGGTGCCCCGGGTATTTGGTCAATACGGGAGTTATAAGTCTCCACTTTTTTGTCAGTATCCTCAGTCTTTTTCTCCCTGGACTCAATTCTCTTGGTGAGTTCTTCGAGCATCCTCATAATCGTGGGGTCAGTCCCCGAGACATTACCGTTTGATCTTTATGGCACCGGCTCAGTACGCCGAGTGTTTTCTGGTTCGACTATACTTGGAGATTTGTGCTGACTTTGAAGTCGTGCGATAGCAACCTGTTGAGCTTGAAGCATCTCGATTATTACTTGGAGGCTGACTCCCCCATCTCCTATACCCTGTGTTCTTTGGGCACCAGATCGGGCTTCCCTTCGTACACTTCCTCCGGGGTCTGCGCCTAAATCCGCATTCAAAGCAATATGCGAACTAACATCAACTGCTTCCACATTTGGCACTTCCCAGGGTTAATCGGTGCTACACCGACCCCTACATTGTTGTTTTTTCCATGGAATCCAAGACCATCATCGCTGTGTACGGGTGCGTTTTGGGAGTTTGACATGTTTTAACCTGAGAACAAAAATTCTTGACAAGAAACAAGTGTGAAAATAACGTGTTTATCAGAATCAGTACTGAAATAACCACTATTACCCTTAGCTCCACGGTGGGCGCCAAACTGTTTACCTCGAAAATACGAGTAATAATTAAACTTGTTTATGATTTTAAAGACACGTGATTTAATTCTATACTAATTAATGACCAAACAATCTGAAGTATAAACGAAAGAAATAAGTAAAATTAAACCAGAGTGCAAGCCAGTCTCGACCTCGAGCTAAGGTGGCCTTGAGGTAGGTCAAGAACAATAAAGTAAGAACAATAAAGTTAAAGGACAATTGTGGTGAGCGATGAGAAAGAAAATAAGAGAGTATATTCTTTTTCCAATGATTGATGATGGTTACAAAATGATTGGGGTCCCCTTTATAACCCTAAATAACGTACATTTCTATTTACAGTAAAAAATCTTATTGGGACAGTTGTCTAACCGCCTATTACGGATTCGTACAAGTCTATTTCGGAATTTACGCCATGATCTTGGGGACGTGGCAGGAATCTTGCTCATTCTGTTACAAACTCATAACGGCGTTATCTCGGGGTTGATCACACTTGGCTCCAACGTCCCTTTAACACTTAAAGCTTCGAGCCTCGTGTTCTGCCTTTGGGCTCGAACTCGGTCCATAGTGAGTCTATTCCTCGACGCGAACCTTCTGTTCCTCGTTGTGAGCCTTCGGGCCCACAAAATCGGGGGCACATAATTTTACCGTAAACAAAATATTAGAAGTTTAGAATAAACTTGTAAAATTGCGATTTTACATCGTAGTTTGAAGAAAAGATAAAACTTTAGCTAGTTAAAATTGCAACTTTCACATATAATCGGGACAGCTTGGAGAGTGGTGCAAACATTTATTAAGTTTGAACATAAAATCTAGATACTCAGACCTATGTCACAAGTACTGTATATTTTTAATTACAAAAATTTAAGGAAATAAAACTCTCGTTGAAGCTAAGCAATATTTTGGCATTCTGATATAAGTTATTCAATTTTAAATATAAGGAGCACATATTATGTAGAAATAGTTATTTGCAAGACTTCGAAATGTAACACATTCAGCTAACACGTCTAATTTTTTTTCTCTGTTTCTTTTTTGTCTCAATTTATAAGTTATAACATGGGAGTATTGTCTCTGGATTACATTCAACTATCATTTCGTTCTCTTGTACCATTGGTTCGTTGAAAGACAATGAAAACGAGCTTTCCTTGTGCCACATGAACTAGACGTCTAGATTACTAGGACTCATTTGGTTTGATGAATTGGAGATTGTATAAAATTTGATATTTTAAATATATAAATTTGATAAGATGTTACCGGAATACAGGCCAAAAGACTTGCCCATACTCCCCCAAAAAATGAAAAAGACTTGTCAAAACCGACAGCTTAGTGAATTTAACTATACAATTCAATATAATTCATTTTTCTGTTGTTGTAAAAAAGATAATAATATTAAAAATATGCTAGCTATTACATAAATTCATAGATCTGAGTTATATAATCATTGACCTGCATCCATCAGTTAGATGAGAATAGGGTTCGTTACCATCGAATAGTATATGGGTCAAAATCTGACCAAGGGAATCCTGTCTAAGAGAGGATAACTAAGAGTCGATTAGGCCGAGGTCGTGTTTAAGAAGTAACCTATTGGCGAGCTGAGTAGCTAGGGTCGAGATCGAGCACTCAGATCAGCCCAAACGACTAGTTTAATAATAAGATATTTTAGAGGAATATTCTACAGAATATTCTCTGCACATGTACTTTCAGTTAGGTAAGGGATATGTCCCATATAAGTGTGAATAGAGAGAGAAGAAAGGGGTATGTAATATTCCATACGATAAGCTCACTCTTGAAAAGTTGACCCTCAAGTAAATTACAAACATTGTCTTTACAAAAAGATTCGATTTGTTGTTGATCCTAGACTTTCTCGCATTAGATCCGAGAAAGCTTTCTATATTCCCATGTTTGTTTGTCTTACATCATTGTCAGAGGGAGAATCATCCACCCCATTGAATATTTGGATGAATAATTTATTTACATTTATTGCCATTTAATATATTTATTGATTGTCATTACTCCCTCATACATTCATAACAATACCATTAAACACCCCCTTGGTATTAAATAGCTTTAAGTGCAATTTTAGGTTGTTCATATCGACCAATTTCAGATCTAGGATTTACCCATTATCATCTTATTTAATTAGTTTAACAAAAAGGCTTAACATTTTTTGGTCAAACAATTTGGCGCCGTCTGTGAGAATTTTCTATTTAAAAATTTAGTTTCTTCTAGATCTAAAAAAAACACACAAAACTTTGCAAAATCCCGTATTTCCTTGTTTGCACAAATCTGACATGGAAGGCAACCGAGAGGAAAGATGAAGGCGATAGTCAACCTCACCACCAATCTCCTCCACACCATTAACGAAGTTGACGAAACGGAGGGCGAAGACATAACACCAAACACCTTTCCCAGGCGAAACAGCTTGCCCACACCTCTCGGTAGTGTCACGACCTCGCACGGTAAAGGTGCCTCCACATCCACGACAGAAGAGGCACCACCAGCAGTGAAAAAGTTACTTGAGGCATGCTTGACAAACACGCTAACCAGCTTCCTCGACAAGATCGCTTGGAGGTCGAGTAGGGAAGAGACAAGGGCCGGTGTCGCATCAGCAGTGTACGAGCAGCACCCCCTCCCTCCCGCAACAGGTATTACTCACAATGTTAGTGATGCAGGTAATGACACCCTCACATCTATTTTGAGGAAAATAGAGGAGATGGATAACGAGAACAAAATGCTCCGTAGCCAAATGAAAGAGCACCAAGAAAGGGTAGACAAAATACCGGGTGCCCATAAACTTCTGCCAAAAAAGAGACGTTTGTTGAGCAACTATATAGCGACGAGGCTGCACCGCATGCCATACCAAAGACCTTCAAAATGCCACCGCACTTAAAAATATACGATGGCACGACGGACCCGGAGGATCATGTGACCCACTATGTCACTGCAGTAAAAGGCAATGACCTCGAAAAAGAACAAGTATCATTCATATTGCTGAAAAAGTTTGGAGAAACCCTAACCGGGGGAGCACTAACTTGGTACTCACAGTTACCTGCACGTTTCATAGAAACATTCGAGGAAATGGCAGACAAGTTCGTCACTGCCCATGCCTGGGCCAAAAAAGCAGAGGCGAGGGTGATGACATATTCGCCATTAAGCAATTGCCTGGCGAAGGGCTCAGGGACTTCCTCGCAATCGTGTAAGAATGACCCTTCCAAATGAATCTGAGGGGATGGCGGTAGCTGCTTTCCAGAATGGGCTAAGTAGAAGTGGGTCGAGGGCGACCCAAAAGTTTCTAAGCCGACTCATGAAATACCCTCCAACCATTTGGGACGAGATACAAAATGCCTATTGTGCTGAGGTAAGAGCCGACGAGGACGATCTCAACGGACCTACCCAACGTCCGACCTCGGTCCAAATGGAGTCTAGGATAGACCGGAGAAACGACAACAGGAGAGATCTAGCGGGATCCCGACCCAATCGAGAAAGACATTAGCCTTACGTTAGAGGCACCCTCTTGTCACCTCCACACCACGATGAAGGTCCATCCAGGCCGTGAACGAGAATCCACCGAAATGAGAGAGGTATTCCCCCATTATTATCTGCTCATGATTTTTGTGTTTCCTCTCAGAAATAGTCTATGCACTGGAGAAGCTCGGCCCAAAAAGTGAAATAGCCACAGAAGATGAGATCCGACCCGAGCACCAGAAAGTCAAATGCCCTTTGCCAATTGCACCAGGAGCGGGGTCATAAAACCGAGGATTGTATCGCCCTAAGACAGGAGGTCGTGAACATGCTTCACCAAGGCATTTGGAAGAGCTGATGAGCGATCGTGGGTGGGCCAACTACGCCCGAGGGTGGGAACGCCGAAACCACCTTCCCTAGCTCGGAACATTCAAATAATCATCGGAGGAGGCGACGATGCATCTATTAACAACGTGAAGTTCAACACCACCCACAAACTCAAACGGTCCATCACCCGCGAACGGTATGACGAACTCGAAGAAAGTATCATCTTCGATAAGTCAGATACCCACGGTTTGGTACTTCCTCACTATGACGCTCTTGTCATTACTTTACGTGTCTTTGATACTGATGTAAAACGTATTATGGTCGATGATGGGAGCGGCACGCGCATCATCCACCCTCGAGTTCTCACCTAAATGAAGATCGAGGATAAGATTGTGCCGCGTTGCATCACGCTAACAAGCTTTAACAATGCAGTTGAGCGGGCATCTAGAGAAATCACGCTGCCCGTTCTGGCCGGTGGCGTCACTTTGGAGACCACGTTCGACATCATGGACCACGATACGGCGTACAATTGTCACGCCCCGAACCTGGGGGGCAAGATCGGCACCCGGTGCCTCACCTATCCTTGCATACCAACTTGCAACTAAAGGACTTTGAACATATAATGTCATACTTTGACCATGGTCCACATTGCAAGACAATTGCGAATGCTGACTAAACATCACTATAAAGCTGGGCCGACAAGGCCGTCATAACTACTACAGCTGGCAAACCAATAAAGTATACACAAAAGGCCTACAAGCCCAACATACTGCACTAACTGACAGGATATGTCTACAAGCCTCTACTGATGGATATATTGTAATTGGAACAGGGCCCCGACCTACTCACAATATATATATACATATATACACAAGATGTATATAAAGCTCTAGACCCGACAACTCTGAAAGGCATGGAGCTTACCGATCAAGCTGAACTCGGGCAACACTTAATGAGGAGATCTACCCGTCTGTCTGTCTGAACCTGCACGCATGAAATGCAGCGCCCCTAGAAAAGGGACGTCAGTAAAAATAATGTACCGAGTATGTAAGGCAATATACTGAAAGTTGAAACTGAACTGATAATATAATAAGTGAAACCAACTGGAGGTCAAAGATAATCTGAAGATATGCTTACCTGTTGTACTGACTCAACTCTCTCAATATAGTAAGTAAAATAGTTGTCCGGCCCTATAAGGCTCGGTATATATATATATATATATATATATAACTGCTCTACCGTAGTAGGCTCGCTCATAGGCTCTCGGCAATACTAGGCTCTGTATCTCGACCAACCGGGCTCGCTCACAGGCGCTCGGCCACAGTAGGCTCGGTATATAACTTACCATCTGATCGGAAGTTGTCCAATAGGGGCCTGCCCATCGATTATAGCTCGATGGTAATGAAAATACCGTAATACTGTATATATAGATTTTTTGCTCTCATGACTGGAAAAAAGAAATACTCAATTGAATATAAAGTCCCGATAAGGAGAATATTGTAACTTATAAGACTAGGAAAATATACGTAAATTCCGGGATATGAATTTTTCTTTATGCATCATTATCAAACTCGTGTAATTACGAGATCATGCCACAATGAAGAAAGGGCTTAGCCTTAACATACCTAAGCCGATTCTCTTGACAATCCTTCCAGCACACGTCAATTGCGACAACACGTAACGGCGGATCGAAGTAGGGAAAAATCCGTACGATGTTCGTAAGAAAGATTTTAGGGTGCTTTCTTAGAATTGCAAATCCCGTTGCACCATGCAGGGTATTTTTGTGTGAAATTTTTTCTCAAAATCCACTACTTTGCTAAACTCTAATTCACGTTCCTTTGTGAATTAGAAAAGAGATTCTTGAAATTTTTGAGCTTCACCTGTGAGCTTTAGCAAGCTTATGAATCAAGATTATCAATTAGTAATGGAAGGTTTGCTTACTATAAGCAAGGGAATATTTGGCTGTAACATTTGGCTTCTTGATACACTCTTTAACTCCAAAGAAGCGAGGAAGGAAGCCAGCAAATGGACGGGAGGAACCTTTGAATCACGTCGAAGCAGAGAGGCAAAGGAGAGAGAAATTAAACCAAAGGTTCTACGCATTAAGAGCTGTTGTTCCGAATGTGTCCAAGATGGACAAGGCATCACTGCTTGGAGATGCAATTTCATATATTAATGAGCTGAAGTTGAAGCTTCAAAATATAAAAACAGATTGACAAGACTTGAAGAGCCTAATAGAAGATTTAATTCAAATGTTGCCACGTAATCAAATATGACTTATATTGCTGCCACGCTTCAAAACCTTGGTCTTTATCCAAAGACCTTAATTAACCCTCTACTTACTCCTTAATCAACTTATTAATTTTCCACTAATTTAATAATTAATCAATTACCCACATAATTAAGAATTATCTCAAATTACATAAATTTTACTCACTTTTAATACACTTTATACACCTTAATATCATGGCCATGTGGTACCTTATATGGCACTAGTCCATAAATATGGGGTATTATAGCTTAGGCCGTATTTTACCCCAACATGTCAAATTTTGACGAAATTCATTTTCTTTTATTCGCCCACCCTCTCACCTTCGCGAATTTACTTATTAGTTGTTTGAAATAGTACAATACTTATAATCTCACAATAATCTCATTCTCGAACTTTCGTCGATTCATTTACAACGAAACTTTATCGTACGAAAATGCGGGATATAATAACAATGCCATCATAGGCTGACCTTGGATACATGCCATGAAAGCTGTCCCCTCCAGCTTATACCAAGTCATTAAATTTCTGACCCCCTGGGGAGTATTCTGCATCCGAGGAGAGCAATGCACGGCCCAAAAATGCTACCACATCACCCAGGACTGCACATACACCCAACAATTAAAAGGAAAGGCCGAGGAGGCATAGCAATTAACGAAGTCGGGGTCAGATGGCGATGAGAGGAAAGACGTCATCAGAGACCCCGAAATCGTAGAAGCCACAGGGTCAACCATAGAGGACCTCGATCCCGTCCAACTAGACGATAACGACCACAACAAGAAACCTTTCATCGACCATAAGCTCCAAGATCCAGGTAAATTTCGCCAATTCTTTAAAAAGTAACTTAGACCTGTTTTCTTTTTCCCATGTAGACATGCCATGTATCCCGAAGGAGATAGCAACTCATAAGTTGAACGTCGACCCGTTTTACCCTCCAGTGAGGCAAATTAGACGAAAGTTCAACTCCGCAATAAATGACGCGGTTCTCGAAGAGGTCGAAAAATTATTAGAGAACGGTTCTATCAGAGAATCAAAGTAACCTCAGTGGGTCTCCAACACCGTCATGGTGAAAAAGAAGAACGGAAAGTGGCGGATGTGCTTAGACTTCACAGATCTGAACAAAGCCTGCCCAAAAGACTCGTTCCCGCTGCCCCATATCGATCAACAACTCGACGCTACAGCCGGGCACAAGCTGCTAAGCTTCTTGGACGCCTACTCAGGCTATAACCAAATCCTCATGGAGGAGGAGGACCAGGAAAAAACCACTTGCATCACCCACCAGGGGACATACTGCTACAGGGTGATGCCGTTCGGGTTGAAAAACGTAGGGGCAACATATTAGAGGCTAGTGACCAAAATGTTCAAAGATCAACTTGGCAAGATCATGGAAGTATATATAGACGACACGTTGGTCAAGTCAAAAAGGAAGAAAGACCATATCGACCAATTAAGGGAAGCCTTCAACATACTCAGAAGGTACGACATGAAATTGAACCCCGAAAAATGCGCCTTCGCCGTAACCTCTTGAAAGTTCCTCGGCTTCTTAGTATCGCAATGAGGCATCGAGGTCAACCCCGACCAAATCAAGGCCATAGAAGGAATCCTAGACAATTTAACCAGCAAGAAACAAGTGCAGAAGCTGACCGACTGTATAGCCGTCCTGTCGAGATTCATCTCACGGTCCTCCGATAGGTGCCAAAAAATTTTCGGCGTACTCAAAAAGGATAACGGACTCCAATGAAATTCTGAGTGCGTTGACACCTTAAAAGAATTAAAAGGCTACCTGTCTTCGCCCCTGTTGCTCGCTAAGGCAGAACCCGGAGAGCGTCTCCTTAATTACCTGGCCTTGTCTGACATCGCAGTAAGTGCCGTCCTGGTACGAGAAAATAAAGGTACGCGGTCTCCAATATACTACATTAGCAAAACTTTGGTCGACGCCGAAACGAGGTACCCCCACCTCGAGAAGCTAGCTCTAGCCTTGGTCGTAGCTTCGCGAAAGCTTAGACCTTATTTCAAGTGCCACCCATCTCGGTGGTCACGACTTTTCCTCTAAGGAGTATCCTGCACAAAACTGAACTGTCGGGAAGATTGGCCAAGTGGCCATAGGGCTAAGCGAGCACGATATAACCTATAAGTCGCGAATGGCGATAAAGTCGCAAGTACTTGCCACCTTCATCGCCGACTTTAGTGCGAAAATAATGCCCGAAGTCGAAAGGAAAACCGCCTGTACTTCCACCAAAATGCACGACCATTGGGTTCTGTACATCGATGCTGCGTCTAACGCATCAGGATCTGGACTGGGACTCTTGCTCGAGGTCCCAACAGGCGAAGTAGTTTGCCAGTCCATACGGTGCCCTGCTATGACTAACAATGAGGCCGAGTATTGCAAGGTTAAAATTGGGACTCAGGTACGGAGCACGGAGAGTAGTCCTGCGATACGACTCGCAACTCGTCATCAACCAAGTCACAGGGACTTTCCAAATTAAGGAGCAACGACTACAAAAATACCTTGCCGAAATTTGCAAACTGTTACCCGAGTTTGACGAATGCCAGCTCGATCAAATACCCCGAGCGCAGAAGATCGAAGCGGACGGCCTCGCCAAACTGGAAGCGACCACCAAAAGCATAACCGGAGAAGGGAACGTGGTCACCCTCCTCCATTCATTGATCGATCAAATCGAGGTATGAACTATAAACTTGAATTGGGACTGGCGTAATCATATTATCTCATACTTCCAGGACAGGGTGCTCCCACCTGATAAAAAAGAAGCCAAGAAGCTCCGAATGCAGGCGGCCAGGTACAACGTCATCAATAACGACTTGTACAAAAGAACGTTTGGCGACCCCTTAACCAAATGCTTAGGAACAAATCAAACGTGGTGCTTCCTCGTAGAAGTACTCGAAGGTCACTGCAGAGCTCATACGGGCAATCGAGCTCTCGTTAGATGCCTCATACGAGCGGGCTACTAATGGCCCACGATGAAAAAGGAGGCTGCCGGCTTCGTAAGAAAATGTGAGCAATGCCAAAAATATGCCCCCATGATTCACCAAGCGGGCGAGCACTTCCACTCATTCGCCTCGCCCTGACCTTTCATCAAATGGGAAATGGACATCGTCGGACCCTTCCCAGCAGGACGAGGTAATGTAAGATTTCTTTTAGTTTTAACTGACTATTTTTCCAAGTGGGTAGAAGCAGATGCATTCACCCAAATACGCGAGCAAGAAGTAATCACATTCATATGGAGAAATATCATATGCCGCTTCGGCATCCCCAAAGAAATCAGTTGTGACAACGGGCCGTAGTTCACTAGGAAAAATATCGCCAAGTTCTTTGAAAAATGGCACATCAAAAGAATACTCTGCACGCCATATCACCCCATGGGCGACGGTTAGGCGGAGTCCTCCAACAAATTAATATTGAACATCATGAAAAAGAATCTCCAGAACGCTAAGGGACTGTGGCTGGAATTGCTACCGGAAGTGCTATGGGCATACTGCACAATGTCGAAAACAAGCATAGGAGAAACACCATATTTACTAGTCTATGGGACTGATACAGTAATACCGGTCTAGGTTGGAGAACCAAGCCTAAGATATTCACACGAGAGCGGACCAGATAATGACGAAAGTAGGAGGCAAGACCTCGATGAGGTCGGAGAGTGAAGAGATATGGCTTACATAAGGATGGTCGCTCAAAAGCGACAAGCGGAGCGATATTACAAAAAAAAAACCAAGGTCAGGCCACTCAAAGTAGGGGACTACGTACTCAAAGCCAAAACACATGTGAGCAAGGACCCACGAGAAGGAAAACTAGAGACTAACTGGGACAGCCCGTATAAGATTACGGCAGCAGCAAGCAAATGGTCATTCCAACTAGAAACAATGGAGGGGAAATTATTGCCGAACAATTGGAACGTCGCCCACCTCAAGTACTTTAACGTCTAAGAAAAGATGTTCTCCAGGCCGTACTCTTTTTCCCTCACCTGAGTTTTGTCCCAACTGGGTTTTCTCAAGATGGTTTTTAACGAGGCGACAAGGGGAACATCTCGAAGTTTAAGGCTTGAAGCGGGATAGATTGTAAGTTGACAAGTTCATTGTCCGACCCCTCAAATACTTCTCCAGGCCGAACGATAAAGGGACTAGATAGGCTGTGAATGGAATACCAGCCGGAAAAGCATGTAAACTTCGTTATATTTTATATATATATATATGAAAACAAAGCATACAAATGCATGATGTTCGAATCAAGTTTTTACTCTGCACAACATTCGATCTCGCTCGAATCGACTCACATTCGACCTCGTTCGAATTAATTAACATTCGACCTCGTTCGAATTAATTAACATTCAACCTCGTTCGAATCAACTAAGAGTCAACATTCAATCTAGCTCGAATCGATTCACATTTGACTTCGTTCGAATTAACTAACACTCGACCTCGTTCGAATCAATTAAGAGTCAATATTCGATCTCGCTCAAATCGACTCACATTTGACCTCGTTCGAATTAATTAACATTCGACCTCGTTCCAATCAATTAAGAGTCAACATTTGATCTCGCTCGAATCGACTCACATTCGACCTCGTTCGAATTAATTAACATTCAACCTCGTTCGAATCAATTAAGAGTCAACATTCGATCTCGCTCGAATCGACTCACATTTGACCTTGCTCGAGTCAATTAAAGCATTCGACCTCGTTCGTATTCATATTCAATCACACTCAAATTCAACTCATGCTCAACCTGACTTAAGTTCGATTTGCAACTTTGTTCGAATTAAGTACGACATGGGACTTCGCCAGAGTCCAACCAAAGATATACTCGACCATGTTCGAAATATCATGTACCAACACAACTCTTCCGAAGAAAAACATTCGAAGAAAAGTAAAAGGGCCCAAGAACATACATCAAAAGTCATGATCATTCTGCTCCAAACATAAAATATCTTGCAAAGGGCTAGAAAGATGCCCCAAAAAAGAAAAGAAAGAAAGCTTAAGCACAAAAGCATCACACCACACCGTCTCCACCTTCGCCACCGCCAGCTTCACCGCCCGGTCCAGCAGCGCCATCTCCATCATCGCCCTCGCCTTCGGGATACTCATCATCATACCAAGCATCAGATGCAAGCCCGTCTAAGTCCTCTTCACCATTACCGGTCCCCGACGTAGCAGGGTGATAACCACAGGCAATCCTAGCGTCACGTGCCTTAACACGGGCATCTTCACAATCGGCCTCAGGAACCTTCCCCGCCGTCATCAAATTCCTATATATGTCCAGCTGAGCCTTAGCGTGGATCCATATCTCATATAAATGCCGACAAACATCGGGGAAAGCAGAAGTATGAGAGGATGACGACCAATAACCGCATCTTCTCGGCCTCAAGCGCGACAACTTGATCACTTAGGCTTGAGATATATCTCTAGCCCACCAATTCACTCATCAAGACGGGCCTCCCTTGGCGCGACCATTTCCGCATCAGTTGCACGTTCAGACCTGAGAACGCGAATAGAGTCCTCTAATGCTGCCACCTTTGTCAAAGCCGCTACTCGGGCCTCCTCGGTCCCCTCCAACTCTGTCACTTTCTCAGTCAACTCACCACTCAGGGCAGCAACTCTAATCGAGCTTTGCTCAAGCTCGGCTCGCAGGGTCGCCACTTGCGCTTGAAGGTCGACGCACTCGGCCAGGACCCCCTTGTTCACCTCGAGTTCATCTTCCTTGGCCCTAAGCGCCCCTTCGAGCTCATTGCATCTGCCGATGGTTCGCACAAGCTCCTCATCCTTCTGTTCCAACTCATCTCTAAGGGATTGGAGGTTATCGCCTACTCTAAACCATGCACGCATCTCATGATACTTATCACGATACCGGAGGTACTTCGAAACCATTTTTTGGAAAATAATCTTCCGCTTCTCCTCTCAACGGGCGCTCTCGATCTCCAAAATGAAAGTCTAAAATAAGAGAAAAGAGAGAAAAAAAGGAAAATCCAAAAAGTATTAGTAAAGATAGAAAGAGGAAAAGGGTGCAAAGTGTAGAAATAACGAGGAAGGAAACTCATCCTCAGAGCCATCCCAGATATGCCTAGTGATAAGTCGGCATCCTTGAGCGCTTGAAGAGTCCTGTTCTCGGCGGTGGAGCAAAGAGGGGCAAAAGAAGGGACCACGCTCACCGTATCAGCCAACAAATCGCAGTTCAAAGGGATTACAATCGAGCGAGAGGATCCATCCGTTCTCACCTCAACCCGGGCAAACCCTTCATCGAATATCATCACTTCCTCGAGATCGACATCAGAGCTAGATTCATAATCATCTACGACCACTCCTTTCTCCCTCTAATTGGCCGAGGAGGGAACATCAGCCCGCTCTAACATTGACGGATCAATCCTCAGAATGACCGCAGCCGACGCTGGTCGCTCCCCTCCTTCCATGAAGGCAAGCTCCACATTCGACGGGGGCACGATCTCTGCGTCCAAAGCCGTACCGCCTTCCGGTTTGGCCGTGGTCAACTGGGGATCACCCCCCGCGGGCTCCTCATCCTCGATCACTCCGCCGTCAACCTCTATCCTTCACCCTTTCAGCAGAGCCACTTCATCTTCTCCCTGCGTCGACTCATCCACCAAATGAAACACTGAAGAAGCCGGAATCTCCACTAGTGGGGCAGCAGCTTGGCGGCCAGGCCTACGCGAGGCCATGGTTCGAGAGGTAACAACAGTCTGAGCGGGCTCGCTTGTAGCCGCAGCAAGTAGAGGCCCGGTCGAAGTACTTGACTGGCAAAAAGCGGGAGTAGGAGCCTCGCCCTCCTCGAAGCCCTCCGACCTACCAGCAAAGAAAGACTTAAAGTAAAAAACGAAAGGAAAGAAAGGATGGTACAAAGGTCAAAACTACTAAGGTCGAAGTGAAATGACTCAGTGGCCGAAGGTTTGTGCCCAAACCTCTCATTAAACTGCGATCACTCACGGATCCCCACCATATGAGGAAAAATCTGGCTCACCCAGTTACGAATGTCGGTGACTAGCGAAGTAGGATCCTTTTATGCTACATAAAAAAGAAGAGAAGAGGGAGAACAATCAGATCACCAAAAAGAAACAACAAACAACCATTTGGGAGAAACACTTACGAGTAAAGTTCCACTCCTCGGGGAACCCGTTAGGGTTCGACACTACGTGCTCCGTCCTCGCATAGAAGAAATTAACCCAAAAACAGCAATTAGTTTTATCATCCATCTTCACCACCAGTCCCTTGGTCCCACGGTGGCAAAGGTGTATTATCGTACCCCTATGAAAACTTAGGGCGAAGAGGTAAAGCAGATGACGGAGAGAAATCCCACGGTTGGCCAGCTCTGCATACTTGATAAGCATAAGGAAAAGCTTGTAAATGTACGGGGAGAGCTGATCTGCGCACACACCATAATAACGACAGAAGTCTTCCGCCAAGGATAGAAGAGGAAGCGTATAGACGACGACAAACGGATACGCATAGAATGCGCAGTACCCTGGGTGATGTATCTGCACCACGTCATTACCAACAGGGATAAGTTCGACATGGTCTGGGATTCACCATTTACCCCTAAATGCAACGAGCACCGCCATATCCATCTTAGAAACGACGGGTTCAGGATCATCTTCAGGTCGGTTCTTGAAGTCCGACCTAATCCTCCCCGAACGTGGAACTATCTCATCCACAGTGGGGAAACTCTCATCTTCTGCAATGGACACTCCTTCTTCATGAAAAGGTATGTCCACAACCAACGCGACAGGATCAGAAGCTCCCTCAAGGTTAGAAGATGAACTAGCCATTTTTCTGTCACGTAGATAAGGAGAAAGTGCAAATGTGAAAGGGGTAACAATGGCAGAAAACACTAAGAGAATGGATAGATAAAGATGCAAGAATTCTGAAGAAGAAGAAGAAGGGGAAGCTTGGGGTTTCGAATGCTTAAGAAATGCAGCAGCTCAAATGAGGAATTCCCTTCCCTGTTTATAAGAATACCGGACCTAATCGAGAAAGCCAAATGCCGCTACATTGATTTTGAAACGAAAGAGGCACGGGAAATGACGTAACATATGGGGAACATGCACCATAATGACGCATGATGAAGTGATGTCATTTCAAACTGACGTAACGGTCAGATGCGGCTCTTAAAGCGCCACGTCGTCACCTCACCATAAAAAGGTCATTCCTTGGCCAACATGCTTAGATTTCTCAAATTGCAACTGGTGAAGTCCGCCCATCGAGCTTGTCCAAAAACAACCCCGACAGGCGGAGGGACTAATTATATGGGTCAAAATCTGACCAAGGGAATCTTGTCTAAGAGAGGATAACTAAGAGCCGATTAGGCCGAGGTCGTATTTAAGAAGTAACTTATTGGCGAGCTGAGTAGCTAGGGTCGAGATCGAGTACTCAGATCAACCCAAACAGCTAGTTTAATAATAAGATATTTTAGAGGAATATTCTACAGAATATTCTCTGCACTTGTACTTTCAGTTAGGTACGGGATATGTCCCATAGTGTGAATAGAGAGAGAAGAAAGGGGTATGTAATATTCTATATGATAAGCTCTCTCTTGAAAAGTTAACTCTAAGTAAATTACAAACATTTTCTTTACAAAAAGATTCGATTTATTGTTGATCCCAGACTTTCTCGCATCAAGTCCGAGAAAGTTTTCTATATTCCCACGTTTGTTTGTCTTACATCATTGCCAGAGGGAGAATCATCCACCTCGTTAAATATTTGGGTGAATCATTTATTTACATTTATTACCATTTAATATATTTATTGCTTGCCATTACCCCCTCATACATTCATAACAATACCACTAAACACCCCCTTAGTGTTGAATAGCTTTAAGTGCAATTTTAGGTTGTTCATATCGACCAATTTCCAATCTAGGATTTATTATGTTTAACTAGGATTTACTCATTACCCATTATCATCTTATTTAATTAGTTTAACAAAAAGGTTTAACACTTTTTGGTCAAACAAGTATTATATTGATCACCTCCTTTAAGTCAGATTTAATGACTAAGGGATATGAACTGCAATCCGTAATAACTATGCAAACATATATAGTAGTCGTGAAAGGAATATGCTTTTGCTGTATCCTAATATCCTGTTACTTTTATGATTTCGGAAAACCCTCCTATGCCTCCTTTTCCAGAATTATCAAATGAAGCTCCATTTATTGATCTTACAATTGAAATGATAGTCAGTTGATCGCGTCCATGTGCTGTAGCTACTGGTATATTTTGGATTTACATATGAGCCATTGATATAATTCATTAGGAACCAAAAAGATACACAGTTTTAGCGTAATTCTTTAGGAGTAATCTATGTATGAACTGTCAAATTAAGAGCAATCTTGTGGCATGCCCATGGTTTTGCCTTTTGTCATCTTACCCACAATTCTTGAATAACAAAAGAAAGTTGGCATCACCACTGGCGTGTATTTCCACCACATCCCTCGTTAGCACTTAACACTAGCAGACAATTTAGGTTCGAATGGCTCAACGTTGGATCAATAATAATTCTACGGCTGAGATTTGTGAAGAGGAAACTATTGGAATCAGAGGGGTATTAGTGTAATTGAAAAACTGGAATCTAGAGTTAACTATGATGTCGTGTCCAGTCCACCAGATATCGCCGTTTTAGCTTCCCTATCCCTTTAGTCCTTTACAACCCCTCTGCCCTTATATTTTCAGCCATTCCAACCTAGTGTTTCTTATAGTCTCTCTCTTTGCCCACAAAAATCCACATTAACGGTACAAATCTTTCACTCTTATACCAATCTTTCTCCCGCCTTTCAATCTCTATCTTTTTTATTTTACATAGCCTCCTTAAAAACTGTTCCTTTCTCCTCCTCCTCCTCCTTTTGTACTTAGCTTGATCTTGATTGGGATTTCCAGTAGCATTTGTTAAACCATTTTAGGACATTTTCCCACCTGAGTTTTAGCTAGTAGAGCTGAGCTTATAGTAATGGATCTGAAGGAAGTAAAGGTGAGTCATGATCCATAAGTCATGTATAGCGATCTCGTTGGCTTTTCTGATTGCTGATTGCTGATTGCTGATCGCATTTTTATTTTTTTTAATGTTCTCTTTTAGGGATCAGAAGTAGAGGAAATGAAAACTTGCAGTGATTGTCATACCACAAGAACGCCTCTTTGGAGAAGTGGTCCAGCAGGTCCTAAGGTAAAAAATTTCCAATCAAAATCTTATCGACCTATTTTGTTTTCTTGTGTTAGCTTACCTTATCAAAGTTCTAATTTTTTTAATTGTACTTGTATTTTAGTCGTTATGTAACGCATGTGGGATCAAATACAACAAGAAGAGGAGGCAGCTTTTAGGACTGGACAAAGGAAGAAGTGATAAGGGCAAAAAGAAGAGGAAAATCAGTGGAGAAAAAAATGGACAGTCATTGAAGATGAAACTGATGGCATTGGGAGGCAAATTAAGAGAGGAAGAACAAGCGGCGGTACTTTTGATGGCTCTTTCCTGTGGATCTGTTTATGCTTAATAAAATTACTACTCTAACCCTAAGTCCTTAGTTGTAGTAGCAGTAGCACCGAATGGAAACCCCTTGTATTCTTACTAATTAATTGACCCATTTTAGTGAAGTAGTAGTTTTTTGATGCTGAGTTCAGTTGTAATGCCTAATGAAGAGCAGCAGCAGATGAGAATGAACCAATGTAGAAGTAAATCTTGACTCTTTTTGATCTATTTCGAATTTAGAGTTTGATTCAAATTGTTTTCAAATTTTGACTTTGGAGTTTTGTCGTGTTACTCACTTACTTGTACTTTCTGTCGAGGATCTTTCAGTTTTGAATGCATCTGTTAGATAGACTCCATTAAATACCATGCAAAGCATGAAACTCTTCTCTCTTGACTCGAGGGAAATTTCAGTTTTCAAACTGGGCATCCCAAAAGTAGAAATCCAGCTAATTAATTTGTTACACTAGCTGAGTATTAAATTCAACGCCCATAAGTTGGTACTGCCGTAGCGGTACTATCAACATCATGTAATTTCACTATTAAAATTTAAAATAATCAATTTTGGTTGGTGTTCAAGTGCATTAGGCTCACCAGTGATTACTGCTCTAGCGCCATTTTGAGTAGGCAGCCGTAACTGTGTGCCAAATTTTTTAAATTCTGTCGCCTACATTATTGTCATTGTCAGCTTGCGCCACAGGATATTGTGTTTGGAGGCTAGACAAAGAAAAAGGGAAGAAAAGAAAAAATGATAACGAATATAAGGGAATATAAGGGAAAAAGTTATAATTGGTGGAAAAGTGGGGAAGAAAGAATTTGACTTTTAATATTTTTTTAGCTCATTTGTTTTTATAAAAATTGAACTAGTTGAATCTAAATATATTTGATACTTAAGATTTTGTCTTTGGAATAAACACTGAATATTTAGGGTGTGTTTGATACGAAGGAAAATATTTTTAATGGAAAATGTTTTCCTAAAAAGTTTTTTCCTGGAAAATAAATAGTATTATCACTTATTTTTTCTTGTTTGATTGGTGGGTTAAAAAAATTTCCGGAAAATATTTTCTAGTGTTTGGTTAGAGAGTATAAAATAATTTTAGGAAAATAATTTTTTATGCTACTCTCCTCAACCCACCTTCCCCAAAATTCCCATGGTTTTTGTACTCCTACCCCCCCCCCCCCCCCCTCTTTCCCGGACCCTATTTTCTTCAAAAATTTAATTATTCTTTTTAAAATTCACACAAACCCAAAGGAATTAATGTGCTACTTTATCTTTTCACACAAGAACAATGTTGAAATTTGAGCTCGATAAATGAAAAGAAAATACTTTATTTTGTTGAAAAAGAAAGTATCGTCCTTTCTACAACATGAAAAGAAATTGCTCATTTTGTTGAATGAAAGAAAATACTTTTACCTCTTGAAAAGAAAATACTCGTTTTGTTAACATGAAAGAGAATATTTTTTTACATTAGGAAAAGAAATAGTTTGTGAAATGAAAGAAAATACTTTTTTTTACATCATGAAAAGAAAGTACTCGTTTTGTTGAAAAAAATACTTTTTCTATTTCAAGAAAAGAAAATACTTAGTTTGTTGAAATGAAAGAAATTAAAATACGTTTCTACATCATGAAAAGAAAATACTTAGTTTGTTGAAATGAAAGAAAATATTTTTCTACGTCATGAAAAAAGTACTTGTTTTGTTGAGATGAAATAAAATACTTTTTCTACATCACGAAAAGAAAGTATACTCATCTTGTTGAAATGAAAGAAAATACTTTTTCCACGTTACGAAGAAAAAGTACTCGTTTTTATAAATGAAAAAAAAACTTTTACCGCCTCATGAAAAGAATATACTCATTTTGTTAAAATAAAAAAAAATACTCTATCTACAACATGAAAAGAAAGTACTCTTAATAATGATTCTATTTAGGGTGGGTGGTGGGCGAGGTTAGGGTGTGTGAGGGTGTGGTGTGTGTGTGTGTGGGGGTGGGGGGGGGGTAGGTNTTTCTTATCGGTTTATCGATAAACCGATAAACCGAAGAGGACAAAATCGAAATCGAAATCGATAACTCGATAAGGAAAATTTCGAAATCGAAATCGAAATCGATAAATCGATAAACCGATATCGATAAACCGATAACAAATAATCGATTCGATTTATCGATANATAGGGGTTGGGGTGGTTGGTAGGGATGGGGAATTGCGTAGAGAAGGTTGAAAAAAGAATTTTGGAAAATATTTTTTCTTTTATTGATAGGGAAAACATTTTCCTCCAATTGAAGGAAAATGAGTTAATGAGGAAAATATTTTCCAAAATATTTAAGCCAATCAAACATGAAAAAATTGGAAAACATTTCAGATAGGTTATATGCATCCTTGTTATGTTTTGATGTCTAACAAACTTAATGATAAGAACCAGATGAGGATCCTGTTACACATCCTCAAGTACTTAAGAATAACTAGCCTCAAGCTGCGGATGTGGTTCAACCCTTTAGAGTCATAGAAACAACAAAGGGAGAAAATGACACCAGTTCTCTTGGTGATTGTACCAGTGAACCCCCCAACAACTGTAAAATTGCTGCTTGCACACGCAAAAGTGCAGCAGTCAATTTTATTGGGAATACCCTTGTACTAAACATGCTTGCATTATTCAAGTGATGTTACCTATGTAATATTAACATTGAAGCAAAGGCAAAACATCACTTGAACATTCAAAGAATCTATCAAGCATCCTCTCATGTGAGCATCAATCCAGCAAGTGATTCTCAAGGGCATCAAGAACAAAGAACAACATAACAAAGGACCAGTTCCCTGTATTGAGTCATTACATGTCCTTAGTTGTGTTGCACCTTTGTTAAAGTACTTTACTTGTAATTCCTACTTAGCTTAGTTAGAAGCATTGTGTAGGAAACCTTTGTAAAATCATAAACCTTGTGTTTGTGTCTTGGCTGGAGTTAGTCGAGTTGTAAGCTTTATAATAGAGTTATTACAAATGGGCTTGTAATAGAGTTATTACAAGTTAGTGAGGATTAAGAGGTTAATTCCTAGGTTACAATAGGTTGTAATGTGAAGTTTGCTCAGTAGTGAAGTTGAAATCCTACAAGGGTAGGTCGTGGTTTTTAATCCCGTGAGCTGAGAGTTTTCCACATAAAACTCCATTGTGTCATTTACTTACTGCAGTGTGCGTGTATTCTACGGGAACTAATAAATAATTCGGTTCTCTATATAGTTTGGTGGACCATTAATTTCTATTAATTGGTATTAGAACAGGTTCTTTCTATCATGCTAACACCTAGAAAGGATCCTCATGGCCACTCCACCTAACGTTGAAGAAGGTCAATCTACCTACAGACTATCAAGATTCAACGGCCAATGCTATGGATGGTGGAAGACAAGGATACATGATTTTATCATGCCTGAAGATTCAGAGCTCTGGGATATTATCTGCGATACACCCTTCGTTCCTACGAAGACTATTGGTGACCCAGCAGTGACAATTCCTAAAACAAGAAAGGAATACAACGATGCTGGCCGCAAGGCCATAGAGAAGCCGAGCAAAAAAATCCTCGTCTGTGGTATTGGACCAGATGAATATAACAGGATTTTAGCATGTCAATCTGCTAAGGAGATCTGGGAAGCTCTCCAACAGCTCATGAAGGGATAACTCAAGTCAAATAATCGAAGATTGACATGTTAACCACAGAGTATGAGCTTTTCAAGATGAAGGATGATGAGTCCATTCAGGATATACACACTCGCTTTACCTCTATCATCAATGAGCTTCACTCTCTCGGAGAAATCATCCCCAAGAACAAACTTGTCATGAAAATACTTAGTGTATTACCTGGTTCCTGGGAAAGCAAAATAAATGCTATTATAGAGGCAAAGGATTTGTAGAAGCTGACCATTGATGAAATTATTGGCAATCTGAAGACTTATGAAATGAAGAAGAAAAAGGATAATGAGAGAAGAGAGCCCAAAAGGGAGAAGAACCTGGTTCTCAAGGCAAACAACAATAACTTTGTTGTGAACCAAGGTATTGAACCAGCTGCACTTGATATTGGGCTAAGGAGAAGCTCCAGGCCCGTTAACTTTCCAAAATATTTCAAGGACTTTGTGGTCCCCAAAGCCAAAGGATAAGAGAGGGCATCTGCAAATGTTGTTATGCGAGGACAATTGTGAGCACTACTGGAGAAATATTCCCAACAGACATTAGTATAAGTAGTAATAGGTTTCCCTAATTAGTCAGAAAATATGCCAAGTCTTTTTGTTTGTTTTTGCTAAGGAGCAGTCTGGAACCTTTCCCCCTTCTTCATTTTTCCTTTCTTTTAGTGTTTATCTTACTTTTGAGTCCATTGTAAGTAGATTTGCTAAGTTTTGAGATTGAATCAAAGAAGTTTTCTGTTATTAATTCATAACATTTGGTGCTTTCATTGATCCTCCCCTAGCATATGGGCGACAGTGGTCACAATACTCGTCAAATCCCTCGATGACGCTATGAAGCTGGTGCACGAGCAACTTGCTGTCCACAGCAAGAACCTTGAAAACATTACTTTTACATTGCAAGGTCAGCAAATTATTTTTCATGACATTCTCTCTTAGCTTACCCACCTTCAACCACCGCCGGCACCACCACTGGCGCCACTTTTTACTGTACAAAATTCATCCCCCATTTTCCCGGCCAAACATCCAACCCAACTGCTCAACTACTCCCAATTTTACTCCCCACAGCCACACAAATTTTTTCCTCAATCACCTTCTCAGACCTTAACCGTTAACCCTCTTACTCTATTTTGCCGTGATAAGCCGACGACTATTAATTTGCAAAAGTTTGATGGATCCAATGCAGAGAGTTGGATTTTTCAAGCAAACCGATACTTCGATCATTATTCTTTTCCCAACAAACAACGCCTTAGTATCATCTCATTCTATTTGGAAGGACTAGCCAGAGAGTGGTACTAGTGGATGTATAAGAACCACTAGCTAGTCAATTGGGATCAATTTTCTCAGGCTCCTGTAATTCGTTTTGGCTTCAGATCCATTGAAGATCCTGAAGGGATACTCGCCAAGCTCTATCAAACAACTACAGTTCGCAACTACTCACACAGTTTGAGCTTTGGTTGAATAGAAAGACCGATGTCCCTCCGTCCTAGCGACGACATCTTTTTGTTTCGGGCCTGCGTTCTAATATAAAAGGGGATGTTCTGTCATTTAGGCCCAAGGATTTACGTGAGGCAATTGATTTGGCCCTTATCGAGGAACAACAGAAGCTTTTG